AAAGGTGGGCATACAGTGACATACGCCCAGAGGAAACCAAGCTCCCAGATGTTGAGGCTGTCTACAAATCATACAGCATCCATACCACATGTCCTTCGTTCTTCGTCCCAGATTAGCTAGGCAAAAGTACCAACGTTGCAGTTGCTGGGAGCTGGACATGCCCATCGATCGACACCTTTGATTCGCGCGCGTGGCTCGTGCCAGGGACTCGCGCGGTGGAACCCCTCGAGGACGCGCCGCCCCCCGTGGTGAGTCGATGACGCCGAACTGCGGCGGAGACGGGGAGCGGCGCGAAAAAGGGAGCGAGGCGGAGGACTGGGTGCGAAGGGCTGGAAGCGGCTGGAAGAAGAAGAAGCAGAAGAAGAAGAAGAGGCAAACTACACAACTCCTCTCACAATGGGCGGAAGGAGATGGGAACATATTCAATTACAACACAAATCCAGGATCACACGCCTCGACCAGGCGAGTGGGTCGGATGCTTTGACCAAAAGGCTAAGGCTGCAGAGGTGCAGAGCTTGGTTCAGCGAATCCATCCGGTTTGGACTTCAAGTACGTCGCACGTGCCCAATCTGATTATGCGAAGAGAAAAAACACCATATGACTCGGGAAACGACGGTGCCATACGTATTTATGTGAACTATTGTGAACTCTTAGTTTTGAAGCGAGCTATGAACACCGAGACTCTTGGAGGCTGTCTTCTTGGACGAGTTGGAGAGGTTCACTGCGAATCTTGTATAGTAATTGTTTTCAGTCTCAAGCATGCATGATTCAGAAGTTATGAATTAGGAGTACTCAACCTAACTTTTTGAGCACAGCATTAAATGTCCGATCAAAAACATGTCCATGTTTCTTGCGGAGGATCCCAGCAAGACTATGATACAACAGAAGCATATGTTGACATAAGCTTCCACCTTTAGACAAGCCGATGTGAACCGAAAACCGTCCTTTTTCCCACTCCAAAAAAGCATTGGGCGACTTCCTCTGCTCCTCCCGTCCAGCAGATGGCAGTCACCGTCGGGGAGCCTCACTTGGTGCTCTGTGAATCGGGATGGTGCTTAGTATGTTTGCTCTCCGAGGAAAGTGGAAGTCGCATGTAGCCACTGCTTTGTAGACGAAAAGGGTCTTCTTCAGTGGGCCCAAGGATTCTTGTCTTTTAGACTGGGCGATGCTGGTGACATCATGATGAAAGATAATTAGCGCGTTACAAGCCACTTCATTAGTGGGACCCTGTAGTTGAGTTGTGTTTGCTCAATTGAGGTAGAGTCAGGTGCTTGTTTTGTTTTTTTTTGGACTAGTGTGGGAGATGCATCTTATAAAGATCAAGTTTGGGACTGTGTCCGTCAAGCCCTCACTGCAGTTCAGATGTAGATGCTCCCTTTTTTCGTTGAAAGATCCCATGTTGAACATTATAAATGACCATGGGCACCTGTGCAAACAAATTATGTTTTACACAGCACCTACACCACACCAGTGACTGCTAATCAGCTAATCCAACCAAAGCTTTCTATAGACACTCTAGTTCAAGATTTGTTGGGCTTGGCTAAAAGGATCCATATTGTGAAGCCAGATCACGGTGTGGTTTCGCTTCATTCCAAACTACCCTCCGCTGTGCGTCCGCGACGGAGGCCACAGCCTTGCGCAAGCTCTCTGAGCGGAAGCCCAGCTTCCGACGGGTTTTGGCGGTGGAAGGGTTTGGGCGATGACTCTGGAGGGCCGGGCACAAAGAACGAAAGACACATACATGAAACTACGAGTTTTTGGGTGGATGCGGAATAGAATGCCATACTATTGGTCAAAAGCATTCCAGCCAAATGGACGCTTTTGACATATTCCACGTGTGCAACAACAACTTACTAGCCGCAAAGAACCACTGTCCTAGCATCCAGCATCTCAGGTGGACGCCGATGGGGGGTGTTGCAGAGCATCCATAGACATCGGTTGTTTCTGTCACATTCCTGAAGAACGAAGAAATCAGATCGAAAACGCGCCATGCTCTCGTCACGTGCGGCGTGCCGCAGCACATCGTCACCGGAGCCAATTCGGAGCTGAGGTGGTGTGTGAGAGCCGAGTTCCAGCGGCCTGCCAGGTGTGGAGATTGGAACGGGGGTGACAGCACCGACAGGGCCCTTCTTTTGGAGTAAACCAGCTCCAGCAGACTGGACAAGTGATACGAAAGTCCACCCCAAACGGACAGAACCTGAGGTTTTTGATGAATTTTGACATTGGGAAGGTTCAGGAGTTCAGGAGGAATAACATACAAAAAACACCTTTGGAGGATTTTGAAGGTATCACCTTGATCAGCCTGCTGCATGTCATGACGGCCCCGCAAAAGGCCTTGGCTGATGAACAGAATGTCCTGGGTGCCTCGGAGCTATAATATGCGTCGGCAGTATGGGCGATGTGCAAGAGACGCGCCAAGTATATCAAAACATGTGGGGAGCGCCAGCAGGCGCAAGGGCGAGCTCAAGTGGTTTTTAGTGATTGAAATCTTAGGTTTTGGCAAAACCCCATATATCCCTGCTAGAATACTGTATGACGTTTAGGACCATTCAAAAGAACGATCCAAGACCAACAAGTATAGGCCTGCTATAAAGGAATTCTTTCCTTCATAACGACGATTCATCAGGATTAAGAACGAGTAAGAAGGTTATCATATAACAATATTATACAGTATATATCAAGGAGATGAACATTATGCTTGGATATGCCCCAAAGACGCACAAAGTATGATCCTCTACCAAGAGTCACATGTCGGGGTGCCGAACGAACGGAGGAAGTCGGGGTGCCCCTGTCACATCCACGGCCCCTGGATGACCAAACACCACCCCAACATGTGACCCCGGTATATGTTTTGTTTCCCATTCAGCTCACACAGGATGCTTCGACCACATCGACTCCTCTCGGTGCCCAGGTCGCATCGTCTTCAAGTCGCGGAGCGCCCATCGCAGGTTCCGGGTTTCCGGGTGGTGACCGGGGCACTGGAGACCTCGTTGGAAATCATCATGGTTACGTGGATGGCATCGCAGGATGACGCAGGATGACGGGGCCATGTTCCGCAAGTGAGCAGAGATATTCTGCATTCCTTTGTGGGCCTGGGGTGGTTGAGAGAGTGGATTGAACGCCTGCCAGCCAAACAAATCGCAGAATTTCATGGCGTTCTTCACTTTGGGAAAGGATTGAAGTGAGATCATGTTTGGTCGATGACCACATTCCTGCAACCATTATTGTCAATCAGTCGGAGTTGTGTATTTCGACATATATTTCAAGAAGGTGGTAGAGGATTAGAGGTGGCAAGCAAACCATCCTAACAGGCTAGAAGACTGCCACCAAAAAAGGCCCAGACTCGCTAATTCCTTGTAACCGTCGAGTCTACATGTAGCTATGAGATCCAAAGACACGTTCGTGCCATCCTTGTTCGACAGGCGAGTTAGACAGCCCAGTTCCCATCTTGGACGTGTCGCACCGTTGCCAGGCATCGACATCACAACTACTTGACAGCGACCTTCAAGGCGTTCCCGTTCCTCGAGAAGTCCCTGTTTTCCCAACCCAATTGGGTGGGGCAATACCTCCGGGCCACACTATCCAGTAAAGAGGCAGGATCTTGACAGATTCTGGTAGGTAACCCAGGTAGATCATGGTAGTTTTCTGGCAGGATCTTGACAGATTCTATAGCAGATCATGGTGGTTTTTCTCGATGGTTCAACTGTTTGTAGTCCACCAGGTTCGGCAGAGAGGCGATCTTTGTAGTCCACCCGTCAACATCCCATCTCGCCAGGTTGTTTGTTCTCCACGGTGAGTGAACTGTGGCAGGGATGATGTGCGTTCATTGACTTTGGACTGTCATTTCAGGGCGGTCCACTGACGTCTTGTTTGGTGCGGTTAGGAAGCAGATGAAAGTTGGATCCAAAAATCACTCTGATTCTTGTTTGGTGGGCCGTGTTCCATCAAGCCACCTACCAACAATGCACGTGACCACTTGTATAGCTTTACCCACCAGAAAAGAGCACGTAACCATCCACCAAAACTCACCACGCGCCCCCACCTCGTCGTCTACGACCCGTTGGATTCCCGCCCCCACCTGACCCTGCGCGGCGCCAAGTTACTGTGCTCGCCAGGCCGTGGAGGTCTTGCTGGGCAGCGCGAAGACCTTGGAGTTGCAGACATTGGTTCGACCTCCTCACTCGCTTTTTTGGGATCGGACCTCTTTCCGCTAGGGCCTAGGGATCCAGAATTAGCTTCTCAGAAGGTACTTGGACCCTGCAAGCTCACCACCTTCTCAGAAGGTTGTGGATCCATAGGGTTCGGATAGCGGGGATACCTTGGGCACACTGCGTTCCCAAGGATGCTCCGCCAAGTGCAGTAGCATGTGAGTGCGAGTGGTGCATCTAACGTATGAGATATACGTAGTGAGCAAGGCAGAGGACTCAGAGGACCATGAGTACCATCAGCTCCAATTCTGTCGATGGACTCCGAAAGCAACGTTTGTTGCTTTTCCAACATTGCGGGGCCTTGTGGTTGCGCACTGTTTTTCATGGACGATGATGGCCCCTTCCTGTTTGAACAGCTGAGTGTGCTGCTGCCATGGGGCTCAAGGTGTCGCTGCAGCTGAAGGGCAGCGAAAAGACGTCGCTGCAGAGCCAAGACATGTGCTTCAACGACTGCCATTTTCAGGCCTGAAGAAGCCTCTTCTACAAGAGAAAGAAGGAGCACCAGTGGCTGCAGTGTCTTTTTGGAGAGGAGGCTCTCATGTTCCACTGACTTAGCATCCAAGCGCGGCCCTTAGCTTCGGCTTCAACCCCAAAGGAAGGCAAAATAAGTTGGTTTCCTTTCCAGCATGCCACTTAAAGATCGGCAGACTTCACATGAAGTAGCTACGAATGGGTTCCTTGTCCTTTGGTTTAAAGTAGTGAGTTGTAACCTATACTATCCTTTGGTGCTGTTCCATGGTTGCTTCCCAAAGCGGTTCTTTTGCGCACTCACTTGCCCTCAGCAAGTCAACCCTTGGGACTGCCATCCATCTTCGCTGGGCTTTGGTGCCATGGCCAACTTGATTTCATCATGGAGGCAGCTCTCTTGGAGTGGGTCAATGCATTGGATGTTCCTTGTTTGCAGAGTCATCTGTCATCCGTGCTGGTTGTTGCTATAGGCACTTACTATAGGCGAAGGTGGTGATGTTTGGACTTGCAATGCCGAACCGAAAGGAATTTCATCCATCACATCCTCCCACGTATGTGCACATGCGCTGGTCCAGACAGCAACGAATCTTTCTTGGCTTCTGCCACGGGGTCCATCTGGAGGTTGGAAGTTTGCTGAGATAGCAGGTTCAGGATGGTTCAGGTAGTGGTTCAGGTAGATTTGGCTGAGGTCCAAGTTGTTTTCCTTTTTTCCTTTTGACTGGTTCCCACCTCCCCCTTTGGGTACCAGCAGAAGCAATGGAGGACCATCCATTTTGCTGAAGCCTGATGATACCTGGGAGGGATTCATCCCTTCCCATTCAGCTCCGTTCAGCTGCCCTTCCACTGCCCTAAAAAACTATACCACACACCTCAGAGGCGTCATGTGTTTGGTTTCTGAGAACCTCCGCGGCTGTGAGGTGGTGCAGCAGCACGTGCGGAGCTTACGAGATCTCGCCGATGGCGAGCTCTTGCTGCAGATCATGCGCGATATCAACCCGCAGGACCGGCGTTTTCGGGTCCTCCTGCTTGGGTGAAGGACACTCAGGAGCTGTTGCCTCTTTCAGGTGCTGATGACATATGATGACAAGGTTCAGTTCAAGTTTTTAGGTGGGATTTGGGATTTGGGTTGCATTCCATCTTCGAGACTCATCACAAAATGTATTGTTGACCAAACGCGATTCCACAGAAGTCCTTCCAATCCATCCAACACCTTTGAGGTCTTCCACACCTTTCTACACGAAGACACAAGCCCCCGGCCCCCTCCCACCCTTCAGCAGTGGTCCTGGCGGTCGCTCGAGGACTTCTCTGGTTCGGGCACCGCGCTGGACGTGCTCCGCGCCGGGCTGCAGCAGCACTTCGCCGGGCGTCCGGCTGCGCGGCACGTGGCGCAGCTGGGCGCAGGGCCGGGGTCGCTGGTGCAGCTGGTGATGCTCGGCGGAAGAGATCGGCAGAAGAGCCCTTGTGGAGATGTGTTCCAAGTGAAGTTCTGTGACTTTTTGAGCATGGATTCATGGATTGGGTGCTTTTCAGTATTTTTTGCTTGATGTTGCTGGTGCTTGGTTGTGGTTCGACAGATTTTTACAATATTCAATATTCCCACCAGTAGATCCCAGTGCAAGAGATATCAAGAGATACGTTTTCACACGCTCCGCTTTCGCTCTCTTTTCGCTCGTCGCAGAGGATCTGGGCCACCTTGGACAATGACCTTCCGAAGCGAACAAAGTACGTCCAAATCTGTCAGCAGCTGAGCGCCCACTCGGCGCAGCAGTCGCTAGGGCGCAGGTCTCGACCGCGGTCGAGAGACTGAGTATAGGGGGGGAAGGACCACCTCCAGTAAGGTCCCAAAGCAGCTTCAAGTTGTAAGCATTTGTGTGGAGAGATTTGTGTTATTCCACTGATCTTAGTTACTCAAGGATCAAGCTCTTTGTGTATACAAGTATAGTTGCTAGATAATCACATTCCTTGCTGTTGGACGGACAACGCCACATGCACACACCCCAGGTGTTTCCATTTGTTTGATTCTTTTGGGGGACACCGAGACTGAGACCTTCATTTCGCAAGGTACCCGCCACCTGCCTGCTTCACTGCTGAGGATCATGCTCTTAGCCGAACGCTTCAGTGAGGAACCCGAGACGCCGGAGGCCGGCGGCGTCAGCGGCCGTGCCTCGAGCGCCTTCGGCAGCATGATGCCACGTGCCTTGGGCTGCACGGCTTTTTGGGGAGGCGGTGATGCAAGAACGGCCGGAGTCTTGAATTCAAGGCGTTTGTTGTAATGTTGGATCCTGATTAGTAAATGGTACCTCTATAATGCTAATGTTTTTTGGGCCCTAAATTTTTAAATTGGAAAACAAATTAATAAGGGTTTGAATTCCTTCTGAGGCCAATGATTATGATTCATTAAATTAGCTGATATAGCTTTCTCTAGGTTTCTTCAAAACTGACAGCTGACCGAAACCACCAATTCCCCAATTAAACCCTTTATAAAACATTGCTCCCAAACAAATTTTC